TCCATTTAGATTCTTTGAAAATCAACTGAGTAAATAAATGTGATGTGCCTGCATAATATTTCCCATGAATATTATACAATAATAAACTATACATAATCACTTAATAAGCTGTACTTCTTATATAAATGTAGGTGACCACAATTCACGGATACCGCATAATCACACTGCCAACGTGAGGTTTCCACAAACATTGTGTGTGTTTGTGTTTAGGGCTTCAATTCTCCTTCATGATGCTGCAGCGCGTTTACTCTGTATCATAATAATCTGCTGCCTCTTACTCGCTTGTCTGGAGCTGGAATAAAAGGCCATTTTGTAAAACGTTACTAATTGGCACTGACATGGAGCATTTATTTGGCATACATGTAAATGCCCTCACATACAAGTATAATGAGTTGCAAATAATGATCTGTATCGCAGTGTCAAGAATTATGTGTTATATAAGAGCATTATAACTAGACAGGGGAGACTCAACTCTAAAGTGATATTTGATGTTATATAGTGAACAGAAAATGCTTACAGATAGTGACATAGCCATGGCCAGTTGCAGTTCTTCTTCCTCCTCCAACCAGAAGCATGTTTTCCTCTCTCCTTCAGCCTCCTCCTTCTCAAGGCGGAGCTTTTTCCCATCAAGACCTTCAAGTTCCTCATGGCAGTAAGCTTCCTCACATACATACACACACATGCACACACGCACAAACACATATACATACACGCACAAATCATACATTAAAAAAGAAGAAAATCACGTACCGCTTCGAGCAGGTCGAGCAGCGCGAAGTTGGGCTTCAGCGTCCAGAACTGGTCGCGGTCCTGCCGGCAAGAAAGGAACCACACTCTTGCGGTTCTCCGTCCCTTGAAGGAAAGATTTTTGCCTTTCCGCCCATTAAGCCTTTCTAAAATAATTCATTCACTATTTCACTTATTTATCTACATTTTTTTCTAATTTATTATTTCTAAGACATTCTTATCTATTCTATCTACGTATGTATCTATTTATTCATCTACTTATTCATTTATTCATTCATTTAAACGTTATTTCACATACAAACACACATATATGTATATATTTTACCCTGTCACCCGTTGTATCTTCTCTTACAGCAACATATTAATTATTGCAGAAATAAAACAAAAAAAAACGAGGCACCAAGACACTGAAAACAAAGACACAACG